GGAGATACCTAGGCAGTAAGCCATCAGATTGCTTTTAAATCTTTAACTGAAAAACGACTCCAAGAAATCCAAACTGATTTCACTCAAATTCTTAGGGAGAGTGATTCAGCTATTAGAGTAAAACCAACCGCAACACAGTAGAGCAAAACAGGGCAAGTTACCTTCAGAGAACAGTCAGGAGGTAAAAATACAGCTTAAGTAGAATCTGCACCCAGACGGTGTTCTAGTGACTATTCTCTCATATAACCAGTGTCTCCTTGTAGAGCCTGCATCTCTCATATACCCTGCATCTGCTGGGATAACTTACATCCCTTGTACAACCTGAATGCACAAGATGGTGCTGGGAACCTGGTTATCCTTTCAACGCAAAGTTCATGTGGATTTAATGCAAGGGACAGTTTTGTTTTTTTTTAATGTGTTTCAACCTGGGATGAGATATTTGAGAAGGAGATAAATGCCACCCACCACCTCTGAGGGAACTATGCAAACAAAGAACAGCTGTGTGTCGCAGGACACCCAACAGAAGGAATCGATGGGATTGTTGGGCAGACGGCTTGCGCCGGCAGGGTCATTGCTCTGTGTTCACCAAATCGTTTTATTTTCTACTAAGACACCCAAAATGACCACCCCGTCTGGAGGCTTCCTGTGGCCACTCCATACAAGAGAAGATGGTTGCCATTTCTAGACCGACCTAAATTGTTCCACAACATTGTTCACACTTGTTCTCGCACCTGCACGCAGTGACTGTGAGGTGGCAAAGCGACGTGATGGAAGGGGCCTTGGTCCCCATCGCCTGAAGGAAAGCTGTAGAGACGTGCCCAACCCAGCAGAACCACAGCAATTCTGCCTAGAGAGGAGGAGACCTTTGTCATGCTGCAACACGCCTGTCGGGCTGGGTTATTTTTACTTGACAGATAGATTCCTTGGTTCTGTAGGGTTGGAACATGCTTTAAAGATATTTAGACAATAACTAAAAGACATGCTAACGAAGAACATTATGGAAGTTAGCTCTATACCTACGCGTTATCTGTCTTTCTTTCTCTCTTCCTTAGAATTTGACATTCTTTCTGTTGACTTTCTACATGTATCTACATGCACATTCAATTATGAATTTTAAACTGTCACCGTCTTCTCTTATTTGGAATTAATATTGATTTAAAGTAGTTCTTTTTATTTTATTGGTTATTGGCTAGAATTTTATTTTCCATTCTTTATTTAAAAAGCAGACAAGAAAATTGGTTTTCCTGAGTCCCAATTTTCCTTGAATACTGCTATCATGTCATTTGCAAATGATTCTTTGAATTTATTTTCCAAATTTAACAAAAAGATTCTCAAAGCCTTTTACACGGTTTGACAATTCTCTCAAAATATTTTTCTGGTTATATAATTTGGATAATGGCTTTAACTTTTACATGCAAAATACCTGTTCCTTTCATTCATTGTTCAATAAATATTTATGAATCCTGTCATAAGTGCTTTTGATTATTAGGAATAGAGCAATAAAGACAAGAGCTTGATCTTAAAATATGCATTTAAAGTGCTTAATTTATGGCAAAGGAACTCCCCGCCCCCCACCCCCGAGATTGACAGACAGGTGATAGAGGGGGAGGAAGGGAATACGGACAAAATCCAAGACCGTGAATGATAAGGACCAGCAGTAATCATCACAGGGTGACTGAGTCACGTCAAAGCCAGGAGGAAGCAGGGGTGGCCCTAATTCCTCATCGGCTCCCCATCTCCCACTTGGCTCTTCTTTGCTCTCCAGTTGGGTGCAGGCAGCAGGAGGCTCTTGTTTTTTCTCCTCTGGCACCTCCTGAACTGGCTCAGGCTCTGGCAGATGACCTTCTATGACCATTGTCAGGCGGTCTGGCTGGTGCGCGTTCCTCCTGCAGCCGCACAGAAACTTCATGTCTTCCCCGCGACCTTTCTCCCTTCCTTCCTTTTGGTGCAGGCTGGCCCCACCCATCACCCTGACCGCCCCGTCTCCCTCTCCCGTGCACGGCCACTCCCCTAACCATTAAGCCCTCAGGACAATGAGGTTCTGGTCAGCGTTCAACAATCTTGGGGACAAAGCCTGGGATCTGTTCACCACAGGGACAGAATTTCAATCAAACCAAAGATACCATCTGGGCCTCAGGTCTGTTTTCACTCCAAACCCAGAACAGTGGGATGACCCCACCGGCCACATTCCTGTGAAGACAGACTATGTGACACCATGGCTGTCCCCAGGGCCAGGTGAGCTGATCAGCAGCCACTGCCCACAGCACTGACTGCTCAGTAGAGGCCATGACCCCGACCATGACCCTAACTCCTTCCTATGTAGGAGATGACTCTTCCCCTACATAGCCCCCCCCCCGACCCCAGAAGTCATCAGGGAGCAAGGTCATTGAGCAGGGGCTCACCTGTGACTTTGGGCATGGTGCCACTTCCTTTCAAGTGAACCTTCACTTTCTTGGCTGCAAACTCTTGCTCTCCTTTGCTGGGGTTCCAACTCGCACAGGCCAGCGACCCCTTCTGCTTGGCCTTGCTCCTGGCCCAGTTCTCGCTGGGCTCCAGCGACAACATCTCCTCTACCCACAGCCCCTGCCCGCCGTCCCTCTGTCCTCCCAGTAGTGACGAGTGCTCCTCTCCAGTCCCGGTGTCCGGACTCTCCCGTGGGAGTTGGTCCCCGCCTCCCACACACACCTCTGCCTTCGCTACGTCTCGGAAAACAACCCCTTCATTGAAATACTCTCATTTGAATTCTTTGATCTATGGATTATTTGTAAGCATGTTGAATTGTCAAATATTTAAGGGCTTCCATATTCTCCTTTAAAAATTTTAGTTACTTCAGTGTTTTGGGGTTGTTTTTTCTTTTTTTGGACATCATTTTAATTTACCAGTTTTCTTTTGGGCTATAACTTTGCATTTTAAGTGGTTGTCCATGGCATTTAAATCACACGCATAAAATACTAGAGCCAAGCAATAAAACAGGCTGATTTACCACCCTCCCTGTCCTCTGTGCTGAAGCTGTCATATAAATTACACTGAAATACAGCAGAAATCCACGAGGCAACGTTATTCTTTTGTTTTCAACTTTGTGTTTTAAAGAGACGGAGAAGAAGGTCTCCTACATTTACTTGCCTGTTTATTGCTTCTAGGTCTCTGTACTCCTGCTGATAATTGAGATTCCCTCTGATCTCACTTCTCCTCAGCCTGAAAAACTCCCTTTAGCATTTCAAATACTTCAGGTTTGATGGTAGCAAATCCCGTTTTTCACTTATCTGTAATGTCTTACTTTGCCTTTGTTATTTAAAAGTATTGACACATTTTTTTTCTCTCTGAGAGGATTTTTCCTTCTGTTATTTGAGCCGTGTGGCTTTGGCCCCTCCTCCCGCAGTTTCCCTGCGCTTCTCTAGGGAATGGTTCGCTGTCCTGAGCCCTTCGGGATTGCACTCGGATTTCTAACAACAGGACTGTGTCATTGAATTTAGCTTCCTGAGGGTCCACTAAACATCTTGAAATTTTAAATTTATATAGTTTACTAATTCGGGGGAAATTTGGGAGCATTGGTTCTTCAAAAAATTGTTCTTACCCATTCTTACCTCCTTTCTTTCTGGGACTCCAATTATACATATGCTAGAATTTTGATATTATTCTGCATATTGAAACTTTTTGAAATATTACATTTGTTCTCACTCTTTCTAATTGGATATTTTCTATTGATCTGTAGAGTCACTCATTTATTCTTTCGTTTTCAGTATATTGGTGCAAAGAGTATGCTTTTCTTCTTAAATTTCAGATATTTCATTTTTAGGAATCCCATTTGACTCCTTTTATAGTTTCCATTTTCCATTAATATTGACTACTTACTCATCATTTTCACAGTTTTTATTATTCTTGAGCATAGGTATAATAGCTGCTTTAAAACATCATTTGCTAATTCCATCATTGGAGTCATTTTGAGGTTGAGCTTCATTTCTTATCTCTTATGTATGGATCATGTTTTCTTTTCTAAAGAAAATAATTCTTTGGTTGACTTAAAATTGTATTCTAGACTTTGTTAACCATATAGTGTGGAGATTTTCTTATGTTCCTCTCAGTAATATAATTTTTTTTTGTTTTGTTTCCTTCTCCAGCAGCTTACTTGACTGACCTCAAATTCCAGTGTGTACATGACTACAAAACAGCAGCTGATTACTAATTGTAACTTTTGCTGGATGCTTAGAACCAGCCCCCAGGAGAGCCAGCCCAAGGAGCAGGCAGACACAGCGCAGACTGCAGCGCTTCCCTCCCAGCTTGTTTCCACACAGTGCTCCACACTCTCCAGCTGCTGTGGCTGCCCTCTGCTGCTTCTTTCTTTCTTTTCTAAAGAAATATTTTAAATGCATCTCCAAAATCTAGGTGTCCCTCATGCCCCCAGTAGAGACTGTCCTCTGACTGAAAGCTGTAAAAAGAGCTGCCCCTCTGTGTCTGTGTGCTTTTGGCCCCACCCAGTGCTTTTAGTTACAGTTATGTTAGTTTGTTTCAAAAGAGTGTAGTTATATGCAGGGTAATTAACCCACCAGAAGACCCCACCATTGCTAGACCTGGAACCTATTCATGTCCAACAGCAAAAGTTTTACTCTTCTACTAACTATGTATTTATAGAGTGCCCATTTTTAAAATCTGGTAGTTGGTCTTTTCCTTTTTAGGAGCTTTTTACCTAGTAGTGAGGCAGTTCTGAGAGTATTAATCTTGGTTTTCCTTCTTACTTGTTTCAGGATTTTGAGTCACTGGCACTTAATAAATATGTTAAATAAGTTAATGTATAAGGAAATCGACAGTATAGCTTTTTAAGTTAAAGATATCTTAGAAGGCTCATGGGAAGCTTTATAGTTAGTGGACCTCTCCAATTCTCCCAGTAACATGCAACACAGATTATTGTTGAACTGGAGTTCTGACTTTCTAGCTAAATATAACAACGCCAGTATATTATAGACTTGGTGGCATGGTGGGAAGTTGAAACTGAGAATTTAAATGCTCACTTCGGCAGAACATACACTAAAATTAGAACAAAACAGAGAAGATTAGCATGGTCCTATGCAATGATCACATGAACAATCATGAAGCATTCCATATTTTTAGAGTATCTGAAAACAAATGAAAATGAACATACAACAACCCAAGATCTATTAGACACAGTGAAGGCAGCCCTGAGAGGGAAGTTCATAGCAAAACAGGCCTACCTAAAGGAGATAGAAAAATATAAAATAAACAACTTAACCCTACATCTAAAAGAACTAGAGGAACAACAACAAACAAAGCCCGGAAGAGTAGAAGGAAGGAAATAATCAACATCAGAGCTGAATTAAATGACATAAGAGACTAAATAAACAATTCAAAGAATTAATGAATCCAGGAGCTGGTTCTTTGAAAAAATAAACTAAATTGGTAAACCTTTAACCAGACTCATCAAGAAAAAAAGAGAGGACCCAAATAAATAAAATCAGAAATAAAAGAGGAAAACTAACAACCGATAGCACAGAAATACAAAGGATTGTAAGAAATTACTATGAACAACCATAGACCAAGAAATTGGACAACCTAGGTGAAATGGACAAATTTCTGAAAACATAAATCTCCCAAAACTGAATCAAGAGGCAGAAAGCTGAACATACTGATAGTAACTAGTGAAATTGAAGCAGTAATCAAAAAACTCCCAGCACACAATAGCCCTGAACTGGAATGGCTTCATAGGCGAATTTCCCAAACATTCAAAGAACTAACCTATTGCTCTCAAAATATTCCAAAAACTTCAAGAACAGGGAAGACTCCCAAACTCTTTTTACAAGGCCAGTATTATCCAAATTCCAAAACCAGATGAAGGCACAACCAAGACAGAAAATTACAGGCCAATATCTCTGATGAACATAGATATTAAAATCCTCAGCAAAATATTGGCAATGCAGATCCAGCAATACATTAAACAGATCATACACCACAATCAAGTGGGATTTCAACCATGGATGCAAGGAGGGTATAACATTTGTAAATCACTAAATGTAACACATCACATAAACAAAATGAAAGACAAAAACAGTATGATCATATCAATAGATGCTGAAAAAGCATTTGATAAAATCCAACACCCATTTATGAAAAGAAAACCAAACTCACAAAGCGGGAATAGAGGGAGCACACCCCAGCAAAATAAAGGCCGTAAGTGAGACAGCATCATACTCAATAGGCAAAAACTAAAAGCATTTCCCTTAAGGTCAGGCACCAGACAAGGGCGTCTGCTTTCACCACTCTTATTCGCCATAGTACTAGAAGCTCTAGCCACAGCAATCAGACAAGGAAAAAGAAATAAAATGCATCTAAAATGGAAAGGAAAAAGTAAAACTGTCATTATTTGCTGACATGAGAGTGTACATAGAAAACCCTATAGACTCCACCAAAAACTACTCAACCTAATAAGTGAATTTCACAAAACAACAGCATATAAAATTAATATTCAGAAATTGATGGCATTCTTGTACACAAATAAATTATCAGAAAGTAAGAAAAAAAGTCCCATTTACTATAGCACCAAGAAAATAAAGTACCTAGGAATAAATTTAACCAAAGGTGTAAAAAATCTGTACTTGGAAAACTATAGAACACTGAAGAAAGAAATTGAGGGAGATACAAACATATTGAAGCATATACTGTGTTCATGGATTGGAAGAATTAACATCATTAAAATGTCCATTCTACCAAAGCAATCTATAGATTCAAAGCGATTCTTATTAAAATAACAATAGCATATTCCACAGATCTAGAACAAATATTCCAAAAATTTATGTGGAACCAAAAAAGACCTTGAAAAGCCTCAGAAATCTTGAGAAAGAAGAACAAAGTTGGAGTGGTCACAATACCTGATATTAAACTACAAGGGCCCTGTCATCAAGGCAGTTTGGTACAGGCATAAGAACAGACACATAGGTCAAAGGAACAGAATAGAGAACCCAGAACTAAACCCATGTCTCTATGGTCAATTAATATTTGACAAAGGGGGCACAAGCATTCAGTGGAGTAAAAACAATCTCTTCAATGAGTCGTGTTGGAAGACCTGGACTGGTACATGCAAAAAATGAAACTAGACCAGCAACTTACACCATACACCAGAATAGACTGAAAATGGATAAAGGACTTACATGTAAGTCATGATACCAAAAAAGTCCTAGCAGAAAAGATAACCGGTAAAACTGCAGACATCCCAGGTAGCAACATTTTTGCCAATATATCTCATAGGGCAAGGAAAATAAAGGAAAAAACTAACAAATAGGACTACATAAAATTAAAAAGTTTCTGCACGGCTAAAGGAACCATCATCAAAATGAAAAGGGAACTGCCTGTATGGGAGAACATATTTGTCAATGATACATGGGACAAGGGTTTAATCTCCAAAACATATAAAGAACTCATACAACTCAACACCAGAAAGACAAACGACCCAGTTAAAAAATGGGCAAAGGGCCTGAATAGACACTTCTCTAAGGTGGACATAGAGAGAGCCCATAGACATGAAAAAGTGCTCAACATTGCTAGTCATCAGAGAGATGCAAATTAAAACCACAATGAGATATCACCTCACACTTGTCAGAATGGCCATCATTAATAAAAACAAACATAACAAACATCATGTGCTGGTGAGGAATGGAGAAAAGGGAGCCCTAGTGCACTGTTGGTGGGAACGCAGACTGGTGCAGTCACTGTGGAAAACAGTATGTAACTTCCTCAAAAAATTAAAAATGGAAGTGCCGCATGACCCAGCAATTCCCTAAGTATCTTGAAACACCAATTCAGAAGAACCTATGCGCCCCTATGTTCACGGCAGTGCTGTTTACAATAGCCAAGCACTGGAAACAGCCTAAGTGCCCATTAGCAGGTGAGTAGATTAAAAGACTGTGGTGTGTTTACACAATGGAATACTACACAGCAGAAAGAAAGAACTCCTACCTTTTGTGACAGCGTGGGTGGGAATGGAAAGTGTTACGCTAAGTGAAATGAGCCAGTCGGCAAAAGACAAATACCATATAACCTCACTTATATCTGGAATCTAATGAATAAAATAAACTAATGAGAAAAACAGAACCAGAGACATGGAAACATGGAACAGACTGATAGCTGCAGGAGGGGAGGTAGGAGGCAGGGAAGGGTGGAAGGCAGAAGGGCCGAGCCAAAGAACATGTCCGGATGACTAAGGGAGATGGACAATGGAGAGGGGATGGACTGCAGGCAAGAGGGGTGGTCTCGGGGGGGGGGAGCAGAAGGGGAAAACACTGGGACGACTGTAATAAACAGTAAAACAATAAAATAGGAAAAGAAAAGAAATTAAGGCTTTGACTCCCTGTTTGGCTCTGAACACACTGCTTAGCTTTTCTCTTACATATGTTTGCATCTCATTTTCTGATTTCTTGGAGTGGGGATCTTGTAGAAAAAAAATCGAATTAATGTCCATAGCAACAAGTCTACAATATGAAACCAAATATGCACTTAGCAACAATTCACCAGTCGAGACTTTGTCTTTTCTTCTAGATTTATTTTCATAATTATGTTTTCATCATTTCTAATGAGCTGTCAATTATATATGCAAATTAAGTGGAGCAGACATTAAAGAATTTCTTTATTAGTATCATAACAACAATATGATTTTATGAGGTGGATGCAATTCATGCAAACTATTAAGAAGGGCCTTGTATCTAGGGCTGTTCTTTATTTTTATCAACTATGTAATCTGCTTTCAACTGAAATATATAAATAGAATTTGAAATCTTCTGTAGATTTTGGAAACTGCCCAATTTTGTCTTCTATAAGGCCACACAGCTGCTACACACCCTGACTGGTGTTTTCTGGTTACTTGTCATATGCTGAGTATTGAATATTTTTGTTCTACCTATTCCTAATATGTCAATATCTAATCTATGGACTTCTTGGACTGTAACTTTAAAAGTGTTATTTATTTACTTTCAGAGAGGAGAAGGGAGGGAGAAGAAGAGGGAAAGAAAAAACAATGTGTGTGAGATATACTGGGGATCTGGCCCGCAACCCAGGCACGTGCCCTGGCTGGGAATCAAACCAGTGACCTTTCAGTTTGCAGGCCAACACCCAGTCCCCTGAGCCACACCAGCCAGGGCAAGGACTGTAACTTTTCTACTTGTTTCGTTCAGCCTCTGGCTAGCCTTCCATAGCGTTGAAATTGCTTCCCTGCCATCTTTCTCCCACAACTTAAACGGCTCTTTCTCAGCTCATGTTAGATGTGCTAAAAAGATCTATAAAATTCAGTCTGTTTACTTCATTTTATAGGTAAAGACATCTTGTGAATGGACTACATTAGATCCAACAGCCAATGTGGGACTTGATTCCATCTGTCTTACCTTGTAATTCAGGATACTCACATGGAACAGATTTGTGACTTATTTTTATTAGATTTGATTACAAAAAAGTATACTGTAGCTTCTAAGATTATTCCCAACCTCAAGGAGCTCAGAATATGACTAAAAAAATAGGACAGGAAAATAACTGTAATAAGTTGCCTATATTTCATAACATAGTGGTTTCTACCTATATGCAAAGGGAAACATTAAATTTAAACTTTCCCACATATAACACAAAACTTGACAAATGTGTAAACTTGATTATATTTTTGTCTAAAAATAGGCAATTTTAGTGTTATGCTAAAAAACATCAGATGACTTCTGGAGGTTAGCTTATTTTTTTAAAAAATATTTTATTTATTTATTCTTAGACAGAGGGGAAGAGAGGGAGAAAGAGAGGGAGAGAAACATCAATGTGTGGTTGCCTCTCGCACACCTCCAAGTGGGGACCTGGCCTGCAACGCAGGCGTGTGCCCTGACCGGGAACTGAACCAGCGACCTTTTGGTTCACAGGCTGGCACTCAATCCACTGAGCCACACCAGCTAGGGCAACTTAATTTTAAGTGCCACGTAGAAAAGGTAACAACTGTGAAAGGGAAGAGGTTTAGTGTAATGTCTATGCATAACCAAAGAATGATTTGTGTTTACAACAGAGAATAGTAAAGAAGCCTGTCAAAAGATCAGAGCAACACTACGGAATTAACTATCAGATAGCATGTACATA